TCGGAGAATTTATTCCCGCACAATAATAGAGATGCATTGACTTTGTGTCTTCTCCCGTCCCGCAGGAAAAAAACGCGTATTTGTATTGCTATTATTAAAGAGATTCATGGGGTTGTTGGTTTCGTTTCCCTGGCCTGCATGTATTCTGACGTACTGATCAGGAAGATGAATAGTAAATGTCAGACTTGCCTTGCTCAGGTTTTGTGCTGTAAATACCCCATTTGAGGTTCTTTTCCACATCATTGACATCTCCATCATGTCGTTAGGCTACCTCCCGATCCCGCAGGGTTTTTTTTTTGGCCGCCCATTCCCGCCCGCAGCAAAGTTCAAACCGCCCGCTCCCGCGAGATTTGCGTTGGGTCCCGCGGGACCCGGCGGGACTCAATCCCAATGCAGCCCTCTACTATGGAGCAGTATCAGACTCACATTCTGACTAGAATATGAGTATGACGAAGTCAGGCTAGTGATTTTCTGGACTAAAACAAATATTTTTGCCCATCATTCGGACGAGGTCCGCTACAACAGACTTGTACTAATAGTTGATAAAAGCAAGATGACAAATAAGTTATAACCGTAATTAAGCTAAACTATACCTGCAACATGCAGAATTATTCTCTGGCGCTGTAGGCATCATTGTCCGACTCTGGTTCGAACTGAACACTGCTAGTACGGTTTCTGTTCTGACATGAGATTGTCCTGACACTGAAGCACGAGCTCTTGAAGCTCCACCCTCTGTGCCGGGAGCAGGAGCTCATTTGCATTTAAAGGGACACACAAAAACGCCGCGTTTTTCCTCACCTCCAAAAAGTGGCAAATTTAACATGCTGTAAAAATAATCTATGTGGTATTTTCAGTTAAAACTTTACACACTCTGGGGACATCAGAGACTTATTTTATATCTTGTGAAAAGGGGCATAATGCACTACTTGCACAACTACTTCCGCGTTCTACTTATTACATATCGGGAGTTTCCGGTTAGAGTGTTCGTCTATGGTTCATCGCACGTCCTTACATGAGAATGCAGATTATCACTACATTTTATGGATGCCAATTGATTAAAACAATGAATAATGATCTCTGTATTAATTATCTTGAGCCTGCTGAAATGTTCCTATAAATATATTTTCTTTCCAACTGTTACATTCTGAATAATATATTTATTCACTAACCTCCAGCAGTCCTATATCTTCTCATTAACAGTATTTTTCTCTTAGCCTACTTATATTCCATACCTGTTGAGGTCACATTTTTTAATGAATCTGACTAATAAAAAGTATTTCTTGTGTGCATTCGTGCTTTATTCCTGTCTTTTTAAAATAGTTGAATGAATGAATACTCGCGAGGTGCCTAGGATCAGAACCATAGATCAGAACCGCACGCAGCGTAGAGGAGAATGACAGTCAACTTCTTTGAATATTAATTAAGCATTTTGGGCATGAACATGTAAATAGTAAAACGATTGACATTGAAAAATGACACTGAATGATTAAAATATTTAATCCAAATAAATAAATGTTCGTGGTTCGTACTGATGTTATTCATCTGTTCTCACACATTTCAGCGTCGTGGTCACTAGTTTAGACGAACACTGACACCCTGTGGTGAAATAATTACGTATTTTTAACAGCCGCAGCTTTCTCAGATTGGCTTGGTTTGGATTAAACTTCATGTTCTGATGAGTTTTGAAAATTCTGCACACAGTAAACTTTTTTTAGTTGGCGTTTGTTCAACTCATTGACCACAGTACATTGAAAGTAAACATAACCGGAAATAAGTGATATGTATTGTTTCCAAACGGAAGTGTGTCACGAAGTTCAGTGCAAGTGGTCCATAGATGCCCTTTAAAGTGAAACGAAACGAGAAATCAATATAACACCATTAATAACAGACATAAACATGAGAGAAAAATTTGAAACTTAGTGGTTGAAAAAAGTGAAATTATGTCACAAAGCAACATTGAGATTATGATATCAAAGTGACAATGCAATATTACAAGGAACATATTATGACACAGTAAATTCTCTCTGATGACAAGACTTTGTTGGGACAGAGAAACTCTTCAACACCTGTGTGGGACAAGTATCTCCCTGACACATCAAGAGCCTCTTTATCTTTACATATTGTCAAAGGCTGCAGGCCACTTCAAACTTAAACACACATGCAGCTGTTCCCTTAGGGAAGCTGTCATACATGTTGAAAGCACCCTTCCCAAACCCAAACACCACACAGATTGGGTATTCCTACAGCAGGTGCTGGTTGAACAACCATACACTGTTCTCAGACCAGGCCCATTGGGTTTGGTAAGATCTTCTTGTCTGTCTGGTTAGATCCATGCTTTGATGACCACCGACAGGTCTTCGAGTTGCTAGCCAACTGTTTTGTTTAATTCAATTCCATGTCATTTTGAGAGGAATTCCACAGTCCTAGGAACTCTAGGCAATGGCATACAAAGGCTGTCGGAGTGATGGGAATTGATACATTTTATTGAGGATTCATAAAATCTGACCACTAGTCTGACCACACACTTACATAAAGGGTCAATATACCATTGTATTGACTCAGACAATGTTAGTTTGGGCTGTCTGGAGCCCAGTCAAAACATCTAATGCTTAAAAGTAAGTTCACTGTGTGGGCCAACTGCCTAGTGCATGGCCATAGGATGCAAAATTTGGTGGATACTAAATGAGCGCAGGGTGAGATGAACGTAAAGGGGTCTTGTCAGTAAACTGTGGGCTTGCTGCTTGAAAAATTGCACAAATGGACCAAAACGGCAGTTTCGGTTTCTACATTTGCAATGCAGGGCGGCCATTAAAATGCAATCATTGCACGTTTCAGCTAGTGCACTCCAGGCCTGAGTGCATGTAAATATTAGCATTAGCTTGAGGGTTGGTGCAGCAGGCAGAGCTAATGTGGCTCCCATCACACAACTTTGACAGCCTTGACCCCCGCATCATATCCATGTATCATTTTGCGCTGGTTCAGTGCCGTTAATCAATTTAGGAGTAATGATGCTCTCTCGGCCCTCCCAGGGGACTCTGCATTATAAAGAACTTACATTATTTATCAAGGGCTGGATCTTGGGCCCTCCATTAAGCGCCAGCTCAATTGCGATGTTCTCCAATAAAAAATAAAAAAGGTTGGGGGTTGGAAAAATTGAGAAGGAGGAATAAAGAGAAAAGTGAGAGTGAGAGAGACAGACTCTCAGACCAAGAGCAAGTGTGCTTCAAACTCCCTGTGATGCCACATTTAAATCAAACTGGCCAAAGGTTCATGTAAACTGATGGCTAATCATTTGTTCTCAGTATGTTGTGAACCACTGCAGAGTTTCGCAGAGCCAAGAAACCACCAAGATTATACAAAGATGGTTAACCTGTTACACTTACGGAAAACAAATGATTGGAAAGGCATGTAGATCTTCATATTTAGACACATAAATACATTAAATACATACTTATGGTATGTCCATATACAGACCTGAGCAAGATATGGATACATTCACTTTACACTTTGCAAACAGAAAGCAAGGACACTATGATGGTCTGTGAACAAATGTTTTTCTTGTTTGTTTTTTTTATTTATGGGATATCTGCCTCCTCCTCATAATAATAATACCAGCAACAAGAACAAAAATTCTAATAATAATTAAAACATCTTTTAGGGTCTGTGAAGAAATATATTGGTATACAAATAATGTGATGTTTTCAACTAGGATAGGTAGAATAATAATAATTATTATTATTATTATTATATTATTATTTTAAACAACAACAATAATAATAATAATAATAATAATGAAAACAACTTTTTAAACAAACTTAAATCATTTGTTTATGTAAAACTGTAAAGTAAATAATTTGTAGGTCACTGTACAAACCTGTCATTTAAGATTTGGTTTTCAGAATTGGGTAGATCAGGGGTCTCTGTTTACTGTTTGAACTAAATGTTTTGTGGAATTTCTTTTTTAAATAAAAGCTAACATTAAGATACTAAAGTTCAGCTTAATGTTTCATTGTCTCAATTGTTTTAATGTAATGTACAAGTATAATGTAGTAATTGGCAGACCCCCTGCTCTACCCAATTTTAAGCTGTTTTCATTATTATTATTAGTGTTGTTGTTGTAATGTATACGAATGTTATGTACAAGTATAATGTATCTGTACATTTAATTATTTTAATGGATTTGCAATGTACTGTATCTGTATACATTTGGCCAGCCAGCAGTCTATGTCCAAAGACAACTCCCCCAAAAATTACAGTAAGTTAAGCTGATATTAGACAATCACACACACACACTCATTTTCTATGTCTGTCACACACACAATGTGTCAGAATAAAAAAATCCAAGTAAATCATGGACAAGGACAAATTCTTGTCCTTTGAGTAATCTGATATGTCATCTTCAATGATGTCAGGAAATCTGGCTCAGGTCTCACAGTCTCTGCATGCATCATGTACGGGAGCAAATATTCACTGTAAGTTATGTGTATGATTTGCCATTTTTGAGTAGCCTACTCAAAGAATATCCCATCCGACTGCACAATAAACAGAAGTGGGTGGTAAAGAACGAAATGGAGTATAATGAATAAATAATGTATTTGAAATTACTAAAAAAAATGTAACACATTTGTGTGGATTTAATAATCAAGATCAATGATTGAATTATCATCCTGATTGGAAAACAAAACATCAACAACAGCACAAACATCATGTGACAGTCAAACAAAATTGTACTTTATGCATTACAAACAGCATAACTGTGAGAACCACAGGCTGATGTGCAGACACAGCACATGAACCATAGCAAACACTGAGTGATTTACTCTCTTGAGTTGTTATGAAGAACAACCAAGTTGGATGCTTCATTGCTGATCTCAATGCGCGAGAAACACTAGGTAAGAAGTTATAAATTGCGCGTTCCTCTAAGCAGCATTCACAAACGTGCCGTTCGTATTTTCACAGTTTGTTGACGCGTTTAAATACAAAAGTAAAGTTTACTGTACCTTGTGCGCCACCTCGACGCGATCCTTCACAACATTCATACAACAAGACTCGCTGTGCTCTCGCCTGGCGTCAGTGTGTCGCGGACCGCCGCACCCTCCGCGCTGAAGTCGTATCACGCCGCGGGATGTAGTGAGGGGCGGTGCGCAAGTTCTAACAAGTCCTACTTTTTTACACATTCGACGTTTTCAAAGTACTGTGGAATGAATTATGTAACATCGTGAAAATGTAGCCTACTCTTTCTATGGCCCGAAGAGGCTAGTCAGCGGTCCATCATGGCACTGTCCTGGATAGGACCATGGGAAAACCATGCAATGAGCGTTTCAATGTGATGCTGTTAATTCAAGCACAGCATACTTCTACATGACCTGATGATGGACATGATCACTATGTAGTAGTCTGCAGTAGGGGGAATACAGATAGTGTGACAACTTGTAAAAAATTTCTCCATTACTAAAAATCAGCATTAAATTAATCCCATTATGACACAGACAGATGGCATTTAAACGTGCACATTTTGAAGGCAATATTTAGGCCTATACACGATTAATAATCAGAGAGTAGCCTATCCCATCTGTATTTAGGTTACCCTTTATGCTTTATGTTTAGATATTGTGTTGACTGATTTACATGGGGTCTTAAATGCCTTAAAAATCTAAAATCTGTTTGTGTTATATAGCCTAAATGTTTTATTGATAACACAATTATTACATTTAGTTTTATTTTTTACTTGTATTCATGTAGCCTAAATACTGGTTAAAAGTAGATTTTAAAAAAGTAAAAGCAACACATGAATTAGATCTTCAGTCAGTGCTAATCCACAAGTCTTCTAATCTCTCCAAAAAAATGCACATAACTGTAACTTCTTGCATACACTGTAAGAATCTCAACTCATTATATTTTTTTATATTATATTATTTGAGTTTTAGTTACTCCAAACCAACTTTTTTTTACAGATAGGTCTACATCTCTTTAATTTTGTCAATTAAAATACATTGGTCAAATCAATTGGAAAAACAGTAACCTAAATTAAGTTTCGTTTAGCCTACTAAAAAAGAGAAGGATTTTTACTGTGTAGAGCCAATCAATCACAAACTCTGATTTACAAGATGAAAAACAAAACGAGAAAATGACAATCCATCATCCCTGCAGAAAGTCAATTAGCCTATATTTTCTACAAACGAAATGCACAACTAAATCAATGAATGAAATGCACAACTATTCATGAAACTCCTCAATGTTGGGTTGGTAGTTAATGTCAAGAATCAATCTAAGCAGTCATATATTAATGTAAAACAATTTATTCCTCATTAACAATACAGGTTTTTTATGTTTCTGAGTGGAACTATAATATCTGTGTCGGCAGCGGCGGAAGGAGACTATCGAGAGTAGGAGTGCTGCTAGCGCCGATTACGTCACGCGGTTGGCGACAGAATGTCTGAGTGAGGCGCGAGTAAGCTGCACGTGAATGTGAAATCTGGGAAAACACTGCTAGCCGAGAGTGCGTTTCAAAAAGTGTGCAGAATTCTAAAATAGTTCTTATATGTCCAAAATTGCCTGCATAATTGCTTTGATTTATGAATTGCTGTTGGTTAATGATCATCATTATTAGGCTATGTTTATTTTTTCAATTTGTTTACTTAGTATTTTTTTCTTTTGTGAATTGTGAAATATTTGTGAATTGCAAGGGTCATATTAAAGAAGCTGCAGCTTAGACATTACTTGTTCTCACTTTATTTGCATAGCTTCTTATAGCAGATTTTATTTTCAGTTTTCTTCAGGCTTTAAATAAGTAGCCATATGGATGTACAATTCAATGAGACTAACTCAAAAGAACACATTTTAAGCTTTCCAATCACAGCATGCTACAATATCAAAGCATATCTAGCAGCTGAGCATATTGTATTTAAATCACGAAAAGGACTAGACAGACACTAATGTATTTTCAAACACTGGATGTCTTAAGAAATTTGTTTTGCTTAATGGGATATAGGGCTACCTAACTTTTAGGATAAAGTCGCCTCCTTAATGAGCGAGAAAACTACAATGCTTGTCTCCCACTGGGCTGCTGTCAGGTGCACTTTCGATTTGAGTCCTTTTTGTCTTATAGTATCACCCACTGCTGAGGAGGGAGGAGAGGTCGTAGGAGGGCCTCTCACCTCTGCCACTCACCCTCATCACAATGGAGCCGGACGCTTGTGCCATAGGAATGTGAGGTAGTGCTGAAAAACTATGCCCACATTCTGCTTATCGAAGAACAGCATACAAATCCTGAGGCTCGACCTAAAGAAACGGTCTAAATCAGTAGTATTTTCATTTCTTTTTGGGGAGCCAAGCTGTGCGCTTGCTTGTATGCGACTCATTTGTGCTTTGGTGCCATCAGCGGTCTTTGGCACAGCACTGGTGTTTTCAGTAATGCTAAGCATGATGGCAGAGAATCAGGCAGCTCGCATTTCAAACAGGCGCCTCCATTGACACCGTACTCCTGCTCTTCTAGAAATAATGTCTGGAGTGGTAATATTTAAATACTGTCTCCAAGGGCTTTTATTTTATTTATCCTACGAACCTTCATACGCCACGGACCATAATGCCACCTGCATGAGTACATGTTAATTTGTTGCTAGTGTTAGTCAAGTCACAAGTTTAATTATATAGGTCTTTATACAACACAGATTGTTTCAAAGCAGCCACACAAACTCTTAAAAATAAAGGACCCAAAAGGGGGGTTTTGCAGCAATGCCATAGAAGACGGCATTCTATGTTATTTTTTATTTTTTTATCCTTTATTTTCTCAGGAAGGTCCCATTGAGATTAAAAGAAATCTCTTCTTCCAGGGAGTCCTGGCCAAGATGGCCGTACTAAAATTTCACATCAAATTTCACATAAACATATAATACACACAAAACAAATTCTAAACAGTCAAAGCGAAAAACTTGAATCATAAATCAACAAATTAATTAAAACAGCAACATGGTTCGTTCATTTTACACTGCAATAAAAAATTTTTCTTAAAATAACCTTTTTTTCTGAGAGTGAAGAACATTTTAATAATCTGAAAACCCGTTTTCCAATAAAATAATCTATTTTGTGCTATATGGACAGGTTTCATGGATGTTGAAGGTTCTTCAGGGAACCATTAGTGCCATACCAAATCTTTTTAAGAGTGCAGTAATAAGAAAACAATGGTATTAATGTTGCAAAGTTATGAAACAAATACAATTTCAGCTGTAAAGCAGCTCTAAAAAGACAATAGTGTCATTATTCAGCTCAATTTAGTTCAATGTTGATTCAGTTTAGTTCAATAACAGTGTGAATGTTGCAAAGTTTTTTTAGTTATGAAGCAAATTCAGTTCAGCTCTATTGAAGACAATAGTGTTGTTATTCAGCTCAAGTCAGTTAAATGTTGATTCAGTTCAGTTCAATATGTCTTTAAAATTCTGGAACAGCATTAAAGGAATATTCTGAGTTCAATGCATGTTAAGCTCAATCAACAGCATTGTGTTAATTACCACAAAAAGGACTCAATGTAATGATGAGGCACTACAAGTGAATGAATGGTAATAAACACTTATAGAATTGAATGAGGACATTTCTTGGACATTTCTTTAAAAGCAGAAATGTGAAGCTTATAATTTAAAAATGCACTTACATTCATTCTTCTGTTAAAACTTTTGTGTTATTTGAGCTGTAAATTTGTTCTTGTTATTTTTGTATGGTTGTTTTAGGCATTATCATGGCAACAACGCTGTATGACTATCCAAGAGTTGAGTTAGTGATTCTGTTCACATTCACAAGTCATGATAAATTGCACATCGTTTAAGTCTTGTGACTACAATTGAAACAGAGAGTATTCTACTATTTACAAACTGGCCCCATTCACTTCTATTTTACTGTAAGTGCCTCGCTGTAACTCAGATTTAGCTTCTTTATTTTCTTTAAGCAGAAATATAGGGCCAAGTCTAAATGAATTTTTTTGTGGTTATTGCGCTTAGCTACTTTTGAATCGGGAATATTCCTTTAAGTTGTTATTCCTTGAATGCCTTAACTATACTATAAAATATTCCTAAAGAACACCAGTAGTTCTGAAGGTATGTGGGTTAAGAGATGAGAGAGCACAGCGGCCTTGACAGCTGACCATGCCTCCTATTTTCCTCCCTGATAGGATAACAACTTTGTTGACTGGCATTTGTTCAAATGGACATTATGTTATTTGTAAATGGGCGGTGTGTAAGATGAAGCCCCTCACCCTGGCCTGGCTAGAATTAACCCCTTTATCCACCATCAGCAATCCCCATGGCTGCTAGGAGGGTGGTCTGCCTTACCCCAGGGTGGAGAGAGGAATAAGAGGACAATTGTGGGGCTTTGCACAAGGCTCGAGAGGCTGGAACAGCTGCCATGGTCACTTGGTGGAGGGCTTGCATACTGAAGACCACGCTAGTGTAAAAGTATTTGCCAAGGTCGTCCTTGTCATTTCAATGATAAAAAGCCCATTGAGTTTGCAAACAGATCATTGATGTGTTGTTGCAATATTCAGATTTGTTATCCAAATTAATAGGTTATCACATTTTTGATTATTTAACAATACATTATATTACAAATAAACTTTAAAAAAGTTTTTATTTTTTATTAAAAAATGTTTGAACTTTAATTTTACAGTAAATACCATAGGGTTTTTGCAAATAAATTATATTATTTATAGTGAACAAAAAAAAAAAGAAGAAATGTATACTAAAAACAATAAAAGCACATTGTCAGAAGTACCTGATAAAATTTTATGTAATTTAGTTTATTGCATTATTGACTTGACAAAAAAAAAAAAAAAAAAGTGAGGAAACTTGTTGCCTTAATAATTTTAAGGCAATAGGTTTACTCATTTAAAAAAAAAAAATTAAGTCAACTGCATGATCAATTTTTACAGTGTGTTGTGTGCTCAAAAATTTGATTTGGTGTAGGACTTTTTTACGTAGAAAGTTTACATAAAGGCATCTTGAGACATATACTTTCTGATATGATGGCTCATGGTGTTTATGTAGCAGTTCAAGAAGATCTGTTAATTAGTCCTTGCTTGTTCACTGACTATTTGTACATGCATACCATTCTCTATGGTTACAGACAGACAGACGCACACACACACACACA